ATAACACGGTGGTCGACCTTTTTACCAAAGGCAGCCATCATAAGAACATAAGATAATCGTAAAACGGAAAGACTAGAGCAGTGATAAGGCGACGTTTGGTGGAAACACTCAAATTGTTATCGTTAATGCGGATCCTATAGAGTGCGCCAGATGCTTTTTTCTTTATATGATTCACATGTAATGACCACGATAAAGTGTTATCAAGAATAACTCCCAGATATCTAAATGACTCTACTAGTTCAATTGCCTTACCTTCTAGTGTAAGCTTTAAGGCAGTGTTATAACGCAACTTATTTATGTATTTAGAACTTCCGAAAAACATTGCCTTGGTCTTCGTTGAATTTAGTTGTAGTTTATTCGTTCGGCACCAATTAGATATACTATCAATGTCCTTGTTAATCAGGCAGATATTTTCATCAATCTCAGCTGGTGGACATTTTAGGTAAATTACCAGATCATCCGCGTAAAGTAAATGAGAACAATGCGACAGACACTGTGGCAGGTCATTTATGAATAGTGTGAAAAGTAGGGGACCAAGTACACTGCCCTGAGGAACACCAGATCTTAAGTGAAGCCACTCTGAGGACCCACCACCCGTTTCACGGACCGATTGCATGCGACCGCAAAGGTAGGAATGAATCCAACGTAGTACTTCCAGCGAGAAGTTAAGATTACGAAGTTTTCTCAGCAACAATAAATGATCGACATTATCAAATGCTTTGGAGAAATCCAAGAACACTGCAATAGTGACCATTCGATCATCAATTCCTTTACGAATATCATCCACTAGTCTCAGGACAGCAGTCTGGGTTCCCAATCCCTCTCTGAATCCTGTCTGACGTGGGCAAAGCAAGTTATGAGTTCTAAGAAACACCATAATTTGGTACAATAATAAATGATCGGCATTATCAAATGCTTTGGAGAAATCCAAGAACACTGCAATAGTGACCATTCGATCATCAATTCCTTTACGAATATCATCCACTAGCCTCAGGACAGCAGTCTGGGTTCCCAATCCCTCTCTGAATCCTGTCTGACGTGGGCAAAGCAAGTTATGAGTTCTAAGAAACACCATAATTTGGTCAAATACTACACGTTCCAGTATCTTTGAAATAGCACAGAGTAAGGAAATAGGGCGATAGTCCGAGCACACCGAAGGATGGCTTATCTTAGGTAATGGATTTATTAGAGAATATTTCCATAGTGATGGGAAAGTTCCTTTTGACAAAGAGCAATTGAAGATCAAAAGAATGATAGGCATTAGTAAGGAACTAAATTTTTTGTAGGTTTGAATGGGGAAACCATCGACACCTTTACGTTCCAGTATGTTTGAAATAGCACAGAGTAAGGAAATAGGGCGATAGTCCGAGCACAACGAAGGATGGCTTATCTTAGGTAATGGATTTATTAGAGAATATTTCCATAGTGATGGGAAAGTTCCTTTTGACAAAGAGCAATTGAAGATCAAAAGAATGATAGGCATTAGTAAGGAACTAAATTTTTTGTAGGTTTGAATGGGGAAACCATCGACACCTTGCACTCTTGTAGCAATTTTCCCTATCGCTTCCCTATCGCTAAAACATGCATTCCTCAGTATCTATCAAATCAGTAACAGATAAGGAAGTATCGACACATTTCAAGAATACAGGTAGCATCTCATTAGTAGATACAGACGCAAAATGTAAATTTAGTGAGTGTGGCGAGACATGCTCCGGAAATTCATGGGCTACGGTTCGTGTAATACCTAACTTATCTATTTCTCTCCAGAAAAGTCGCACATTCTTCGTATCGTTAAACTTAGAATTGAGATAATTAGACTTAGCGGCCCCAAGTTTCTTTTTGAACTCCCGCCGAAGCTCAACATATTTTGCAAATACAGTGTGTGAGCCAGATCTTTTAGCAGCACGGTAGCATGCGTCTCTTTCCTTCATAAGGCTACGTAAACTTATAGTAAACCATGGCGCTGGTGAACGTTTTACCGTGACTTCCTTTACCGGAACAGCACAATCAAGAACATCTTTTAATAAACAATTAAACGCCGTTAGTTTATGATCAATATCCGGTAGATTTTCAAACAGTGAGAAATCGAACGAGGAAACAATTCGAGCCGCTTCCTCCAGGTTTGCTTCATCCCAGGAGCGGTAACAGAAAGTTCTAGGAGCACAGCGAGCAACAATATATTTAAAAGAGACAAATATTAGATCGTGCCCAGATAAAAAAGGTTGGGCAGATTGCCCCCATGAGACCAGCGAATTGAAATCGGTAGCTGCACAGATATCTAGCCAGGTGTGAGAGTCTTTCGTATGGTGAGTAGGCTGATAAGGAATCAAATAAAGATCTTGTGATTTAAGAAAACTTCTCAGGTGTTCAGCATCATATGTGTTAGAAAGCAAGTCTGCATTAAAATCACCGAGGATAAATGCAAACTTATATCTAGACACAGTAGCTGCAAACTCTTCTTCGAAGATGTCTATGAAGCCGATTTTCGGAGGCCTGTACACAACAGCTATCAGCATCTTTGATCGAGCAGGACTCCAAACTTCAGCTAGTAGATATTCCGGCACTCCATCTCGTTCCAAGGAGGCTGATGTGTCCACTATATGCGAGCAGAGTCCATTCCTCAGGAAAAGTGCAACCCCTCCTCCGTGACGTCCTCTACGATCAACCCGTAAAATGGAGTAGCCCGTGAGGGCTATCTGTTTATCAGTGATGCAGTCATTAAGCCAAGTTTCGGTGACAGCGATAATGTGATACTGATTTATACGAAAAAACTCCCGAAATTCATCAATATGCGCAGGTAGTGATTGTGCATTTAAACAACAGATGTTAAGTATTGAATCGGATGAAACATGCAAGGTCTGTGAAGGGTTGGTTACATCAGCTAGTCACAGATCTAGTTGTGATAGGTCAGCAGATGATATGAGTTTAATTGGTTTAGAGTCAGCATTTTTTCTGAGGTACACTCCTGCATCAGCGATCCAGACCATTTTAGGTGTCAGCGTAGGGTACTTCTTGAGAATTTGTTCTCGCAGCTTCTGAAGTTCCAAAGGTTGGCGACGATTGATATAAACTTTGTTGTGACAATATCCCACGTCAATGGCAGAGGCATTTAAGTCAGGTTGAAGTTTCTTCGCTGTAATTATCTGGTCACATTTTATTTTTGTTGACAATTCGAACATTATGGCACGGGACCTCACATGAGCATCATTACCATCAGCGAGCAATCTTTTCCGTATTCTACCCATTCGTTCAATTCGAACAATATCAGTAGGAGACACATTGACATTTAGCGCACTAGCTAGTTTTAATGCAAACTCACTAAGATTTTCATTTGCACCACCGGTTACCTCAGGTATTCCCATAATTACAAGCTGATTGCTCATGCTCTGACATGCTAAACGAAGCAACATCGCTTTATCAGATTTGGTGAAGCCTTCTGTGGGCATATCAGCGATTCGATTTTCTACAATCTGTATTCGATTCCCTTGAACTTTAACATCATTGCCAATAGTATTAAGATCTTTTGTTACGTTGTTTACGGAATCCTTGATTAGACTAATTTCATTTTTAAAAGGGGACAAGGAGAGAGAAGGAATATACGTGCAAAAAAAACCGGTTCTCTCTCAACTCTCGACATCTCGACGCTGCTCGACGCTGGAACCCACTCCTGTCGCGCGCGCGTAACGGTGTCACTCAAGAGGCAAAAGAAAAGAAAAGAAATTAAAAATGTATAAAAAATGGCCTTTGTCAAAAGGCATCTCGTCGTCGTCCTCGGCCGTCAGAAGTCTCTACCGTGTCCACCAACCATCTTCCTGCGGGTCTATGTATATTTGGCCGCAATTCGCACAGCGGGAATAGGAAGACACCTCAGGAGGACCGAAGGATATAATGCGTTTGTAATGCGTTCGCAATGCGATCGCAATGCGTTTAGAGTGGGCACGGGACAAGGCTGAGGAATGGCTCCTATCTTTAAGATAGGAGGAGCATTACAAGACGATGGAAGATGATACTAATCAATTGTGGAGAAATACTAAATCTATATCGATAAGCTAATCGGGCAACCGAGGACTAGATCGAATCACAATAAGTTGCCGACAGTAGGTTGTCCCGCGTGAGAATCGACCAGCAATCGGATAGATTCGACTGGTCCCAATGAGAATGCGAATGATAGCGAATGATAGCGAATGATACGACGCGTGCGTATGTCGCCCACAAGGTAGAAAATAAAAAGATACGAAGGAAGAGAAGGAAAAAAAAATGGTGATGAAGGTTAATCGATTGCGAGACGGGCGAGCGGGCGAGCGGACGCAGCAGCCCATGCAACGCCGATCCTTTGCTAATGCAACGCCCGCGCGCACCGATCCTGCAACTGATTTGCATTGGCCAGCCATTAATCTTCTCGAATCGAGCAAAAACTAAACAACTGACGCTCTGGCCAACAGACACGCTACTCATGTAAAATTCTTCACTTTGGCTTCGGGAACTTTTAAGCTCCCCATAGCCGCGCACCATTAATTTTTTTCCATTCAGTCGAAGCAACGCTAAGCGGAACTAAAATTACGAGAAACACAGTAAAATCGTAATCGAGAAGACAAAAAACGAAAGAGCACGAAGAAGCGGCAGCCCAGAAATTCGACATTCCGACGTTCGACGCAGGTAAGATGAGCGAGAAAATCGGATGCACGTTGGATGCGGTTCAATGACTTGGAAAAGTCTGTCTATTGCGACTGCTTGACTATTTTCATTTTTGGTTCTCCTCCTCTTACGAGCCTCCGCAGTGGTGCGCGCGCGCGCGCGTGCAAAGTGTGTCCGCCGAATGGCTGTCAGGTCGGCGTGACGCCCGCCGTGCAGCATTGAGAGAAAACTTTTTATGGTTTCTGCGGCCGGTGAGTATGTGAGCCAAGGTCTTTACGCAGCGCGCCGATAGAAGCGGAAGGTTTCCGAGCTGAACGGGTCCCATTGCCGCTGAGGACAAACTCGCCAAGGTGTTCGTCACCGAACATTTGCCCGTCTGTCTCTCTCCTTTCGATCCGTTCAATTTAAATATCTTTTGCTTCATTTCATTCTTTGCTCGTTCCATGTAACAGGGCATTACGCGTGCGGGCTGAATGGTCTTAAATATCGAGACAAGAAATTATATTCGGGCTACTATGAAAACGTAGTTGATCTGGCGATTGATATTTGAATGAAAATTTCAAATCGATCGGATATGCTAATCGATCGATCACCTACACGTTACGCGAATAATAAGATATGTATAACGTCGTTCGGTGTTATATAGATTAATCTGCTCTTATGCTAATCGAGTGTCTCGATGGGACGCCGAGGGACGCCGAGGGACGCCGAGGGACGCCGAGGGGATGCCGAGAGTACATCATATGCTAAGTGGAAATAGTTATACACAGTTCTACATAATGTCTACACGGACTGATAGTATGTGAAATATGTGAGCCCATAGCGAAGGCAGGTGGGCGAACTTGGAAGGTCAACACGCCCAGAAATAGCAGCAGAAAGATCGCGGAGAAATCGGCCATGGTAAAGATTATCTTCATCTTGTTCGGTTCGCTTACCAGTCACCGCAATCGATACGACCGATGGCTACGAGCATTCCAATTGGCGAATAACGACAGCAGGTTAAAGAAATCGCGACGAAGACGGCGGTAAGGAAAGAGGGAAAAAAACAATTTTTATTTCTTACTTTGAATCGCTTTCTGATATTTTCCATTATTAGGATTTTATACTGATATCTACCTGCCCGGCGGGACAAATTTTTGACAATTAAATAGCGTAAATAGTCTTCTAACTAAAAAAACAAGACAGTTGAGACTCACAAAATTAGACGGTAGGCCCCTCTTTTTTACACTCTTAATTCTTTATTACTAGGACTCCAGCGTATAGTTACTCGACTTTTGTGCGAATTGGAAGAATTTTCAAATATTGCTAAATGGAATGGAACACAATTTGTTCTTCGAGTCTCACAGTGTGAAAATTACTGGAAACACGAAAGGAAATGGAGAAAAGAAAATTTGTGTAAGAAGATAGAGAGAGAGAGAGAGAGAGAGAGAGAGAGAGAGAGAGAGAGAGCAGGTGTGCGTGCATACACGTAGAAAGCGGGAGTCTCCTGGAAAATTTGTCAAGCGAGAAGTTTGACGGCAGTGTTTCCGAGCGTGAGGAAATTCCTGACATTCCGCAATTCGCCAGCGAGGACGTAGTTTGTCTCTTTGAGTAATATCGGCCCGAAGCCAAGTGCAAGCCAGCGTGTTTTCCCGTGGACGCTGTTGCTGGGAGTCCATTACGGCTCCAGAAGCATCTTGCATTGGACAGAGCAAGCAAAGTGTAAACCGAGAAATTAAAAGAATCTACTAAGAAAAAGAAGAAGAAGCTTCAGAAAATGTCTGAAAAGTCAGGTGATTTTGCTGGGAAAGAAACGGCACGTTTGCTCACAGATCGAAAAGCATCGCAAATTCGTTTGGACGGATAAACTGGAATCAGGACACGTGTGCAAATGGAAGTGTCATCGAATTCAGGAGCAATACAGATGGGGGCAAAAAGGAACTTTTTTGAAAAATAATGAGAATAAGCTCGCCTGATCGAACAGCGAAGCGATTATTTGGAATTTCCGCAGGAAACTTAGTTAAGCAGTAAAATGAAGATAACGAGGATCGAAGGAAAGAGAGAGAGAGAGAGAGAGAGAGGAGAGTGGCGACTAACGAGAAGGGCGAAGGAGGCGAGAGGAGAAGCATTATTTTTGGAGCCAGTGACCATCGTAATTGGCCGACGGATCCACGATAACGAATTTAGCTAGAACGTTGCGACTGATCGCTCCTCTGATTTCGTCTGATTTCGTCTGATTTCGCTTCGGTTCGTCTCGTTCCGATGGGCCAGTCCGAAGCCTCGGCGCTCTGAGGATTCTCGACGGCCTAATGGGCCTAATGGCCCTAATGCAATTTCACAGCCGATATACAGTTAGGCTACATATTCATCGGGTGTGCCTGAACGCGCCACGTTCCAGAGCCAACTCACCGAAAGTCCAGCCTGACGGCAGAGCGATGGACGCAGCGGAAGGAGCCGACTTTGCGATTTCGCAGATTCAAGTCTGCAGTGACGGCTTCTTGAAATAACGCATGAAAAACGAAACTGTACCGTCAGCCATTACGTAAGAGAAATGCTCTCTGAAGAAATAAAAAAAGATGGTTCTGCCGGAAGAACCTTCGGGTCCGAAACTAGTTTCGTCCGTTGCTTTGATTCCACTTTTCTTCCAATTTTCCTTCTTTTGCATTCTGTTCATGGGAATTTGGAGAAGCACGTAAAAGCAGTCTGCTGAGATACAGGACCACGTTGTTCCCTTAGACGATTTTAGGAACGGCAATCGCTGATCTTCAACGAGCCTGTCGGAGGATCCAGTTGATCCAGTTGTCCTCGAAGAATCGGATCGAAGGCTCCGGAGATTCGGCTGAGGAACTGTTCGGCTGTCCTTGAAGGACATGTCCATAAGCACTTCTTGACTCTTCGCGTCTGAGCTGCAACCCCTTGAACTCGTGAAAACAAGGAAACTCGTCGAGTTAAGCCGGAGGCCGCGAGTAACGAGACGATAAGTGAGACTCGAGTCATTTGTACGGGACGGCGGAAAAGCAGCGGCAGCCAGTTGGCATTTTCCTATTAAATTCTCTCTTTATCTTTCCGACACCCTTTTTCCCTACCGCTAATTGAATCTCTGACAAATGAGCTTCGGTAGGAGCCACAGGGGATAATTAGCATCTGTCGCATCTTCATACACAGCGCCAAATCTTCTCCTCCCTCTTCCTCTTTATTCTAGTTTTCCAGTTCTCGCTGATTCTCTACGGCATCGCAGAGTCCACCCACCCAGTCCGACTGGGTAGAAGATGGGAGCTGGTGGAAGAGGAGGGGATGTTACAAGGTAGAAGGTAAAGGACCGGGGCTAATTAATTGTTTAATTAATCGAGCGAACGAACGAGCACCCGGGCGTAAGTAGCTCTCGCCTGTCACGGGCAGACGACCCGTCTAACCGATGTCTCCGTGCCCGTCTGCCCGCCCACCACGTGTACGCCGACACGACTACAGAGTCTGCCTGCTTTCTTTTCTATTCGATCCAGAATTAAAAATTCCTGAAAAGCAACCCGCTTCGAAGCACGAGAAAATCAGACAGATTTAGGTATCTTCTAACATTCATTTGGAAGATCGTGAAACGTGTCGATTTGAGTTGGTCTTAATGGATCGAGACCCGCAGACAAGTCGAGTCCCTCTCCGGTGCCTTTTACGGGGCCAACAAATACGTATCGACCGTGGCGACCGCTTGTCTCCTGAGCACAATGACAGCAATACGTTTGCGTCATTTAACGTTTGCGTAATACGCCCAACGAAGACAAACGGTACTCTTACAAAACCTCATAAATTTGAATACATTGCACGGGAAGGATTAATACAACTTTTATCTGGGGTGGCACTGATTGAAACGTGTTCTCGCAAAATCCGACCTTTAATAAAGTATAGACTGGCTGATCAGTAA